CCGCTTTAATATTATTAAAAGCAAGAGATACTAATGAGATATTTTATTAGAATAGAGAATATCAAAATAATTTTATCACAATTTTTAATACAAATATGAACATACCTAATGATTTAAAATCAATCTAACGATTGAAACAAGAGTTTTTACTGTGAAATAACATTATCCACCATATATATATATATATATATATTCTCATGAAATATCTCATCAATTTCTCTCTGGTTTTTTTTTTTTTTTTTTTTTTTTTTTTTTTTTTGGTTTTGAGTAAAGTTGGGGAATCCCATGGCAATAGTGGATTAGGTGATGGCCAAAGAGTTAGGGGTGAGTGATAGATGATAGGCAGTAGTGGTAGTAGTAGCATGAAATAGGGGGTGATGGGGTTCAAGGCAGAAGAGGGTATTTTGCCAATTTGCCTTTGCTTATTACCAAACAAAACAAAAAAACATTATGGAATTCTGAACCCCCTCTCTCCCTCTCCACACCCCACCCTTATCTGACACCATTCATTCATTCGACTTATTAAAATAATAATTACTATGCATCGGGTGATGTGTTTACTAAAAGTATCTTTGACTGATGACCTCAACCTTCTCCCATATATGTATACATAACTATTTCCTTTATTTCTTTCGTTTTTTAATAAGATAATTTTGTTTTATTTTATTAAATCCTTTCCTCCGTACTTCGCATTCCCTTTCCACTAATCGTCAATTCCTCTCCGAGGAATTCAAAACTTCTCTTGGTTTTTTTCTTTTAATTTAACTAATTATTATTTTAAAAAATGTAGTTCCATTCAAAGCCCATATGAGGGCGAGATTAGCGGAGATAATTTTCTAATTTTCCTTTTTTACTAGATTGATAATTGGATAATTCAGAAAACATGTATCTTATTTTTAGAAACTATTATTTATTAATTCCCATTTAACAAATTTCATTAAAATTAAACTCACATGGTGAATTTCAGTATTTAATTATTAGTTGTTTGTGGTATGATGGATTTTAGAATTTGTAATTATTAGCTATTTGTGGTATGATGTATTTTTGAGTTTGTAATTATTAGCTATTTGTGGTATTATGTATTTTTGAATTTGTAATTATTAGCTATTGTGGGGTCATATATTTTTATTTATTATTTTGTTGAAGGATATATTTTTTAAGTAAATGTTACAAGATACTCAGCATTTGAAATTTACCTGATCATCAAAAATTGTAATGAATTGAACATATACCGTGTTTTTTCAAAAATAAATTGAATATTTTACTAAACAATAAATTCATGGTTGTTATAAATTACACATATACACCATAAAAACTTCAATTTACTATTGTTTTCAAGGATAAATTAAATGTTGTGCAGGAAGTAAACATGCATTCACCCTTGTTTGAGTACAGTTGTTTTTCTATAAAAAAAAAAACAAAAAAACAAAAGATCTCGAGTATTTGAAATTTAAGGGGGGGAAAAAAAAAGAGTAAAACAGTATCAATCAGTGTAGCTGCAGAAGATCTTCTGCTGAATCTTCAAAGAAGGAAAATTTTTGGGTAAAAATCCCAAACTGCCTCCCTGTGCCGTCCGATTAAAATTGTACAATGCAGAGGGCACTCTTTTCATTATCCACTTTTAATTTCTAAAGCTTTTGTTAGGCCACGTCCATGTCAGTTTTTTTCGTTATTTTTAAACTGTATAATAGATAGATATTCATTTTTCTCTCTCATTTTTTTATCAGTTGGTGAATTCACTGGAGATTCTCCATGCCCAAAATATCTTTATGTGCCCTTGAGTGTCCTTTTAGGTTGTATAGATCAAAACAGGCTAAGCCAAAAATTCGTGTTCTGTTATATCTTACATGTTACCAAAATTTAATTTCTTTATTCATGGACGTTAGGCAAAGAAAATTTATAGACTTTTGTTATTGGTGATGGCAATTTGGCCCCTTTAGTTCAATGCCATTATTTTGTGACCATTAGTCCTACAATCATCTACCAAATTCAAATCTATTTACTGTTATTTATTGGTGACCACTCTGCTTTCCACTTCTTCATCACCTCTAATTTCATTGAACTTAGTTTTTTTTTTTTTTTTAAGTAGTAGCTAGTCTTTTGAGCATGATCAAACACTAATTTAACCCTTTAGACATAATTCAATTGAATTAAATTGTTTGATTCAAATAGTTGAATTAAATACGGGGTTAAATTGTTTGAATTAAATTGATTCGCTTGGTGGCATTGATAGAGCGTGGAGCTCCATACAGATGAGAACGCACGTGACAAGAAACTGACCACAGTGAACTTGCCCAGCTTGAGCATGATATAGCAAATAATATTATTGAGTATTCATAATTCTTCTTCATTGTCACGTTTATCTCTCAAAATTCTTGTTTCTCTTCTCTTTTACTCTCTTCCTTTGTCTATATTAATTTTGAGTTCACCTTACATCAATAACTACGGTTTTGCATCTGTCTATTGCGTATGGAACTTATTCGCTACAACTATATTAATGGTCGGATTGAGTATTGACTCAAGATTTAAGGCAAACTAGTCCAAATATCATATTAAACCTTCTGTTTTTGGTTTTTGGTTTTCGGGGTTGTTTTTTCTTTTATTTTTATTTTTATTGGTGTAATTGGACTCATCCGTGATTATTTGTAAAAATTTAAGCTTTTAGGTTATCTGTTTCATTTTCGTATCATTTTTCTTTGAGTTATATAATAGTACCTGATCATTCCATAGAATTAGTCTTTGCATTTAGAATCTTGAAAACTTCTCCAATATATTAAACTACATTCTCAAGAGTCATAATTGACATTACATCAATTTTCTCAAAACAGAAAAACAAAACAAAAAAGAATTCATCAAAATTTACACATCTTTTGTTGTTTAATATATTTCATTTCGACATTGAAAAACGCATGTTATTGATAGGGTATTATAAACGTAAGAAACTCCTATAACTTGTATACTATTTAGTGATGGTGCATGCATGATTAGTGGACAAAAGCTTGTTCCGGCGATACTGTCCAAGAAATAAAAAGCTTGTTTTTATAATAATTAAAGCAAAGCAAGACCCACCATTTAATTGACCAGATCAGTTTATATCCAACAGTTCATATTCTTCATTAATAGTAAATTTATGTGACTGATTGATCATGGCCCATTTGCTTTAAACAGGAGGAAGTTGAAACACAGGGTTCGTATTATTATCCTGTTTAATGAAGCTTTCTACTGTAGGGTTAATTATTAGCGGTGTATGTTTATATAAGTCTTTAAAGCGCACTTTGCGCTTTAAAATAATAATTATATAAATTGTTGTTTTTGAAAAAAAGATGAAGAAGAAAAAAAAATACATAAAAGAAATGAAGACAAAAATAAGAAAAAAAATTTGAAGTAAAAAACACGAAAAAATAATTTTAACTTATTTTGTTGTGTTTTATATTAGTTATATTTAGTTTTGTTTAATTTGGTATGATTTTATTTATTTTAGTGCATTTTTGTTTAATATTATTTTTATTCAAATTATTCATAGTAATTTTATTTGAGCAGTAGCAGAATTTTAGCGTAAAACGGTGTTAAAATGGATAAAATCAGACCACAAATTAGTTTAAAGTAAATAAATAATTATAATAAAATTAGAAATGATTTTAGTAGTCGAATAAAGCTTATATGCGCGTGAACAATAAGCGCATAAAAAGAGAGTGGAACAGTAGGCATGCATCTGATGGGCCAGCCACGATTCAGCTTATATGCGCGTGAACAATAAGCGCATAAAAAGAGAGTGGAACAGTAGGCATGCATCGGTGGGCCCAGCCACGATTCTCAAGTAGCCAATTATAACGCGGCGAGTGGCGGTTCTGCCGGCCACTTTTCATCAACGTTTGATTCCCTGCATTGTGATTCATGTGAGTTCATTTTCTCAACAAATACATTCGGACACGTGACAAACTAAAAGGATGAACCATTTACGCAATGACGCGTATATTCTACTAAAGAAAACAGCTAATTAAAGCTTGAGATGTGACCCAAAAGAATACAAAAATAACTTAACCAAAACTTTGAATAGTTCTTTTGTGTTTAGATGAATAGTAATTTGTGTCTACATGAATAGTAAGTACATTCCCCTTGAATATATGGTTATCGATGTTTATAAATGTTACATTTAATTAACATTAAAGTATAGTATCTATTCTTTTTGTAGGTTCGAGTTGAGAATTTGAATTAAAAAGTAAATTTATGTGGAAAAAAAGGCTAAAAAATATAGAGCTTTTTTGGTTGAACCTAAAACTCTATACTTGAGTTAATTAACATTAATATTATTAACAATGTTAATAAACATTATTAGCGGCGTATGTTTTCAACTGACATACTTGTATTATAAATTATATTCTCAATACTTTTTTAAGCTGATGTAATTTGAACAAGATCTAATAGTAAGAAATTAAGCCTAAAAGTAAAATGAAAATACATGTAAAATTAGAGCCGTTTAGTTCGTTAATTCAAATTTTTAATTCGAATAGAGATGTAACTTTACGTGAGAGTTTTTTATTATAGTAAAAAATTAAATGTAACTGTTATAAGAGCTTTTTATTGTAATAAAACTCTAATTAATAAAATAAATGAGTCCTTAATAATTTAATATAATTTGAGATAAATCTATTGGTAAGAAAATTTTTTTTCCAAGGTGAAATTGTCCCCGCATAAATTGCAATTGTTTCCCCACAGTTTTTTTTTTGGGTTAACCTTTTGTCTTTTTGCTCAAAAAATATATTAAAAACAAAAAAAAAATAGAATCGGCAAATCCTCGGCTAAAAATAGCCCGCCGACCTCTATTTAAAAATGAAGCCCCAACCAGATTGTGCCACGTCACTACAATTTACACAAAAATGGGTTCTCTCCTACGTGGCGCTAAACTGAATAGGATACAGGTTGTCCTGCGCCGCAGAGGAGTCAAACTTGATTTCATGATCGTTCGGTTGCCTACAAAACGCCCGTAACAGAGAGGAAAAGGAGAGAGAAAGAGAGGAGAGAGAGAAAGAGAGGAGAGAGAGAGAGACTGTAATGCTTTCACACATCAGAGCTGCTTCTTCTTCTTCTTCCTTCTTCTCTGCTGCTTCGTAAGGAGAAGATAAGAAGAGTGTTTCAGAGAAACAAAGGAGAAAAGAAAAAGAAAGAGAAAGATCTAATGGAGTACGAGAGGATACACCAAGTGCAGGTATTCACAAGGGAAAAAAAAAATCACCACTGACCCATGTCCCATTTCCCATTTCCTTAAGCTTTCCAACTTTTTTATAGTTTAAATTTTTTTGCAACTTAATCTAAGCTCTCCTCTATTTTTTTTTTTCTCTTTTTTGTTCTTATTATGTTGTTGTACTCTCTTATGGTAAACCAGTTTCTTGGTATTAAGTTTTAGCTAATGCCTAACAGCTTCTCTTCCTTTATTTTTTCGTTCTGGGGATTGGGTTTGCTTAAAATACTATAATTTTGAACTAATTTTCATGTTCCCATTTTGTGTTTTGGTGAATTCTTAATTGGTTTTTTTTTTTTTTTTTTCAACCGGTTGTTGTGTGTGTTATGTGGACAATTGTAAAGTGTGGCTTTCAATGTGTCTTGCCATCAATAAGCACTTGTGGACGTTGATTTTGTCTTCATTGGACTTTTGGGAGAGGGATATTTCTTTTGTGTTGTCCATTTCGTTGATTTAATTCATGAATATAATTCCAATTGGTAAAAAAGAATTAAGAAGAAAAACTTCATTGGACTTTTGGGAGAGGAATATTTCTTTTTTGTTGTCCATTTCGTTGATTTAATTCATGAATATAATTCCAATTGGTAAAAAAGAATTAAGAAGAAAAAACAAACTTTTATTTTTCTTTGGGAGGTTCTTGTGACAATTGTGGCTCACCATTTACCTTCAAACTTAAAATGTTTTTATTTCATTGTTGTTTAAGATGATTCAGAATGATTAAAGTGAATAGTTGTTGAGTTTATTTTGTTCGAATTGATTTTTTTTTTTGCCCCACACGCACACTTTTGGGCAGCTTTTCTGAGTAGTGGACTGGAATGAGTCATGTGGGTGTAAGTTAAAGTTGTCCTTTTGGTTTTTATTCCCTTGTTTCTTTTTTTTTTTCTTTGGTTGAATTGCAGACTGGCATGATTTCTCCAAGTAAACTGAGGATGAAACTCATGGGGCCCCACCATCTGAAGAAGAAAGATGGATCCAACAGTAACTCCTCAAGAACTTCTCCTTCTAAGCTTGAGGATTCTGATTTTGTAAAGAACAGCTTATTAGCCACTGCAAATGGAGATGAGGAAGGTCTGCTTCTTTTTCTTACATTTATGAACCATATATTCAGGTTGCGTCTGATATGAGGGTTCAGATGGGGGTAGTTTTAGTTTTAGAACTATAACCAATCATGGTTTGAACTTGGGGTCTAAATTATAATTCTAGAACTGGAATCAACATTTGAACTATCCAAAATCAAGGGAGAGGTGGTTTTATTTTTTAGGTGGTTCTGGTTTAAAACATCACATCAAAATTCAAATCTTAGAAATAAAACCATTTAAACTAACCACTGGTTTTTAAGAACTAATTTTATCTTTTACAAACAAACAAAAGTTTAAACAGGATCACAGTTCTAGAACCCCGAACCAAACGCAACCTCACTTTCACACTTGGTTTTAGGCAGAATCAGAAAAAAATTTCAGTGGAACACTATAAAAGAAATTAGAGATATTTATTTATTAAATGGGAACATAATTATATATTTGACTATCTAGTGGGGGCAGTTATACTTTTTCTTATAAAGTGGCTGTACATTTGCAATTACTAGATGCACAACTGAATGTTTTACCAACCAAAATAATAATAATAATAATAATAATAATAATAATAATAATAATAATAAAAAACAATAAAAAGAAGAAAGTGGTAGAAACATCTGCCTACCTTGTTTCCTTACCTTAGTCTCATGTCCTACTTAGTGATTTTTTGTTTTGTTTTGTTTTGTTTTATGCTGAGGAAAAGTTTCTTATTGGAACTAAACTAAACATGTATATATTGGCCAAAAAAAAAGATGAAAATTAAAGATGTATTATCTAAGCTGACTTAACTAGCATTTAATTCATATGCCTTCCAGTTACAGCTCCTTGCCTAGAAGTTCCATCCATGAAATTATCCGGAACAGCTGCATTGGATCGGAGACAAGCAGAGCAGACTTTGAACTCGCAAAAGGAGTCGTTACCAAAAGAAAATGGTAACAGCACTACTCGGGTAAGACTCCAGCAAAGTTCAAAGGGTGACAGCAGTAGTTCAAGTACAGTTCATCCTGTGAGAATTATGGAAGATGACTATCTTGATTATGATAGTAATGCTAGTTCTTCTAGCTTTGAGTTTCATAAAGGAGAGAGATCAGGACACAATCCCATTTCAAGGTCTTTTTTTTTTTTTTTTTTCAACCGGTTGTTGTGTGTGTTATGTGGACAATTGTAAAGTGTGGCTTTCAATGTGTCTTGCCATCAATAAGCACTTGTGGACGTTGATTTTGTCTTCATTGGACTTTTGGGAGAGGGATATTTCTTTTGTGTTGTCCATTTCGTTGATTTAATTCATGAATATAATTCCAATTGGTAAAAAAGAATTAAGAAGAAAAAACAAACTTTTATTTTTCTTTGGGAGGTTCTTGTGACAATTGTGGCTCACCATTTACCTTCAAACTTAAAATGTTTTTATTTCATTGTTGTTTAAGATGATTCAGAATGATTAAAGTGAATAGTTGTTGAGTTTATTTTGTTCGAATTGATTTTTTTTTTTGCCCCACACGCACACTTTTGGGCAGCTTTTCTGAGTAGTGGACTGGAATGAGTCATGTGGGTGTAAGTTAAAGTTGTCCTTTTGGTTTTTATTCCCTTGTTTCTTTTTTTTTTTCTTTGGTTGAATTGCAGACTGGCATGATTTCTCCAAGTAAACTGAGGATGAAACTCATGGGGCCCCACCATCTGAAGAAGAAAGATGGATCCAACAGTAACTCCTCAAGAACTTCTCCTTCTAAGCTTGAGGATTCTGATTTTGTAAAGAACAGCTTATTAGCCACTGCAAATGGAGATGAGGAAGGTCTGCTTCTTTTTCTTACATTTATGAACCATATATTCAGGTTGCGTCTGATATGAGGGTTCAGATGGGGGTAGTTTTAGTTTTAGAACTATAACCAATCATGGTTTGAACTTGGGGTCTAAATTATAATTCTAGAACTGGAATCAACATTTGAACTATCCAAAATCAAGGGAGAGGTGGTTTTATTTTTTAGGTGGTTCTGGTTTAAAACATCACATCAAAATTCAAATCTTAGAAATAAAACCATTTAAACTAACCACTGGTTTTTAAGAACTAATTTTATCTTTTACAAACAAACAAAAGTTTAAACAGGATCACAGTTCTAGAACCCCGAACCAAACGCAACCTCACTTTCACACTTGGTTTTAGGCAGAATCAGAAAAAAATTTCAGTGGAACACTATAAAAGAAATTAGAGATATTTATTTATTAAATGGGAACATAATTTTATATTTGACTATCTAGTGGGGGCAGTTATACTTTTTCTTATAAAGTGGCTGTACATTTGCAATTACTAGATGCACAACTGAATGTTTTACCAACCAAAATAATAATAATAATAATAATAATAATAATAATAATAATAATAATAAAAAACAATAAAAAGAAGAAAGTGGTAGAAACATCTGCCTACCTTGTTTCCTTACCTTAGTCTCATGTCCTACTTAGTGATTTTTTGTTTTGTTTTGTTTTGTTTTATGCTGAGGAAAAGTTTCTTATTGGAACTAAACTAAACATGTATATATTGGCAAAAAAAAAAGATGAAAATTAAAGATGTATTATCTAAGCTGACTTAACTAGCATTTAATTCATATGCCTTCCAGTTACAGCTCCTTGCCTAGAAGTTCCATCCATGAAATTATCCGGAACAGCTGCATTGGATCGGAGACAAGCAGAGCAGACTTTGAACTCGCAAAAGGAGTCGTTACCAAAAGAAAATGGTAACAGCACTACTCGGGTAAGACTCCAGCAAAGTTCAAAGGGTGACAGCAGTAGTTCAAGTACAGTTCATCCTGTGAGAATTATGGAAGATGACTATCTTGATTATGATAGTAATGCTAGTTCTTCTAGCTTTGAGTTTCATAAAGGAGAGAGATCAGGACACAATCCCATTTCAAGGTCAATCTCAAGACCTATGCCATCTAAGTGGAATGATGCCGAGAAATGGATAATTAACCGGCAGAATCTGCAACCTAATTATCCCAAAAGGAATGCTTTGCAGAACCAAACGAATCGGATGCCAGTGACAAATATGATGAGGGTTGCTCCAGAATATGCTAATTGTGATAACAAGTTGTTGTTTAGCCGAGTGGCGGAGACAAAGCGGGTTGATTTCTGTCAACCTGCATCGCAGATTGGGTATGATAAGTTCTCGTTTGTTTCTGCCGGGAGTCAAGCTTATGCGGGGAATGCATTGGTTGATCAATCTGCTCAAACTAAGGACTTAAACGAATTTGAGGATTTAACCAGACCAAAAGGTCAAGCTGATGAGACTACAGGTTTGTACATTTCCTTGTCCGTTGCCTTTTCCTCTGTATGTCTTGTTTCAATGTAAACCATCTAAAAGAGCACTTGCTCATATATATATATATATATATATATATATATTTGACATGTTATAAGCAGGATTGTTCTGATATTCAAAAATTGAGAAACAGAAGATAAATGTTTTGCCCTCTTTTCTTCGTTCATCATGCAGGCATTCCTGCCATAAGATCAGTTTCAATGAGAGACATGGGTACTGAAATGACGCCCGGTACAAGTCTTGAGCCTTCGAGAACTGCAACTCCTGTTGGAGCAACCACGCCACTTCGCAGCCCAACTTCATCAATGCCATCGACTCCTCGAAGAGGTGCACCAGCTTCCACTCCCATTGAGCCCAGCAACGGTGAGGAATCACACCTTCCATCAGACAACAGTAGGAGAGAATTATCGGAAGAAGAATTGAAGCTTAAGACTAGGAGAGAAATTGTAGCACTCGGAGTTCAGCTTGGCAAGATGAATATTGCTGCTTGGGCAAGTAAAGATGATGAGGAGAAGAAGAGATCTTGTGCTGAAGCAGGTGATGCTGCAAAGATTGAGCGTATTGAATGCGAAAAGCGTGCTGCTGCCTGGGAAGAAGCTGAAAAATCTAAACATACGGCAAGGTTTTTTCTTCGACCATTTTACTTTCAGAGCTTGTAAAACTTACTTGCTTTTGATAAACGGGGAGTTGGTTTTCTTTTGTGCTTTCGTAATCTATGTTCAAATTTTCTACCGTGGCTACCTTGACGAGCTGAATGTTGACGTTGCTCAGATATAAGCGTGAAGAAATCAAAATCCAAGCGTGGGAAAGTCAGCAGAAAGTAAAATTGGAAGCGGAGATGCGGAGAATAGAGGTACTTGAAATTCTTCTCTTCGTCGTTTTCGTCTACTGAATGCTTTCCAAAGTTTGAATCCTCGGCTTGAAATTCTTGTTTCTGATAAACTTGACTAAACTGTGTTGACTCACTAAAGAGCATCTAAATGCCTTCATATTGGTAATTTGGTATAATACCATTGATGCCTGCTTGCATATATTCTTACCTTTTGTCTATTGAACCAAATTTTGTAAAGCGCACACTCTGTACAGCATTTTGTATTGTCTTGCTGAATATTTAAATTTGAAAATTTCACTTGATTGCTGATTCAGTAAAAGCCAAATAGTTGATAAACGACTCAAATAGGAGTAGTTCTGTTCTGAAACCCAAGACAATATGCCTTGAAACAACAAGTTTGATTCCTGAAATGGCTTTAACATTTTAACTTCTACTGGTCTTGAGCAACATTTGAGACTTGATCTAAACACAACTTCTTTCAGGCTCAAGTTGAACAAATGAGAGCGCAGGCACACGCAAAGATGGTGAAGAAGATCGCAATGACAAGGCAAAGATCAGAAGAGAAACGGGCAGCGGCCGAAGCCAGAAAAAACCGGGACGCAGAAAGAACTGTGGCTCAAGCCGAATACATTCGTCAAACAGGAAGAATGCCTTCATCTCAGTACATGTGCTGTGGTTGGTTGTGATAAACTTGGGAACAAACACATAAACAAGAAATACTTCTTACCTACTGCATAGCCCAAAATGGCCTCTCATGTCTTGGTTCAATATACTCCTCCATGACCACCCAGGAAGTTGCTTCACAACATTGTGTGTAAAAGTTGTTTACGTATAGTGAATTTTTGCAGTGGACTATGTTTTAGTTGAGCATGAATTGTTCATGAACCATTGTATAAATGTTTTCTTCCTTTCAGAAAAGGTAGAATCTCCATGGTGTAAATGGCTGTGTTTGTTTACACTATTACGTGTACCACCATATCATTAACCACTTGGTACACCAAAGGGTGTGTGTGTTGAGAAATAGTCCAGAAACATTCTTAGATGAAGAGCAGTCTGCATCAAACTTAACGGACCAACCGTATTTAACCAGCTTATATATATATATATATATATATATAAACAATGTTAAAGATATCAACTCTAATCCAAACTTAAAGAAAAAAAAATGACTATGAAGAGTTAGTACAAAAGTAAGGATTAATTAAAGTTGGTCTCCTCGATTATATCATAAAGTAGTGCGGTGAATAGACAAGTCACAAAATTTTCAAATTTATGAGCTTGATTTTTTTACCATAAAATGTTAAATCTCCATTAATAGGTTCATTGGGAGAAGATCTCACTTTCCAAACAAAAATTTGACAATATCTAACACACATTTTTAATTAATCAGTGGGACTAAATCTGCTGTGTATATTCTAATTTCAAAATAGGTCTGCATAAAGATTGGATTTTGTTCGCTCTTCAAGGTGGTTTCATCCCACATAGAAAGTAGAAAGACGAGTAGTTTGTATCGTTTTTATAACTCTCTTGAGTAGCAACACATTTATTCTGTCCTCCTGTCGATTAGTAATACACTAGAAACAGCGCTTAAGGCTCCTATTACATGAAGGCCCTAATAATTAGCCTATGTTTTAGGCCTATTATAGCTTCTATATTACTATTCTTTTCTCTCCTTTTTTTTTTTTTTTTTTTCATTGTGATGAGATAATGAGCAAAGGAAGCTTTCAAAAACCAAAAAAAGAATGAGAACGTCAAACAAAAGTATGCTATATATATAAACACAAGTAAAAGCTAACACTTCAGCCAATAAAAAAAAATAGAAGTTAACATTTTCTTTTCTATAAAAAAAAAGGAAAAAAGAACAAACAAGCATTTTTACCCACTTGATTTTTTTTTTTTTTTTGTGAGTTTTGCAATAGCTATTTTATTTTTTGTTATTGTTTTGTTATTTTTAATGATACAGGAGGATATTCTTTTTTTTTTTTTTTTTCATTTCATTTCATTGCATTACACACAGAAATTACGTGGAGCCGGCTCCAACTAGAAAAGTTGGTGGCAGTCGTAAGTGTACGCTTCAGTATGAATGTAGATTAATTACGCAGAGTGTTTCAAAAAATATGTTTTTAAATGGATGCATAACGAACTTCTAATGGTCAGCTTAAGATTACTATGAAGCATTTGAGTGTAGTATTATAACCTTAAAAAGTTGTGTGTTGAAATGTTTTATAAATGGTAATTCAAATTTACTGTAGATTTGTAGAATGACTAATATAGAACAAATCGTTTTACAATTTTATAATGAGAAACAAAAGTCATTTTTTAGATTTTTTTCATGTGTAAATATGAATTTTTTTAAATATATCTTTTGGGTTCATAAATAATATAAAATAGTACAAAAATCGATACTTTATAAATTCAACAAGTCTAATAAGAATAATAGTATTAACATAAATTATCATTTCTTTTATTTAATAGTAGTTATTCTTCATCAGCTATATGTAAAGTTTTTCAAAAGTTTTTTTTTTTTTCAGTAAAAAACAGATTTATAAAGTGATAGAATTAAATAGCATATTTACTAATAAATATTTATTTATACCATACAAATAACTTATATTTAGGAAATACATAAATAATTTATATTTAGGAAATACATAAATAATTTATCTACGCTGGATATATAAAATATTCACCAGTAAATATTTTCTTTACCTCAAGCGTTTTTAAAAAACCCTTAAAATTCAATATGTAATTAATATTGTCCCTTTATTCAGTATTACCCTTTTTGTTAAGTTGTATAAGTTAATCTATATAATAAAATGTCAAGTATAAGTAAGTAGGTCAATAATAGAATTGGGACTATTATAAAAGGACAGTTTTACACTTTTTCCTTAAAAATATTAAGGATCTTTATTGAATCCGTCAATCCATCCATAATCCAATTCAATCAGATTGGATTGGATTGAAATAATTTTGGTTTAGTAAAGGATTGAGATTTTCTCATATAAAGTTATAGATTGGATTGTGGATTGGGCATTTTCAATATGCATAACCGCCAATTCAAACTATATACATTATGTATTTTTTCTATGACGTATTTGAATTTTACTTTTTAAATTATTATCAAAGACTCGAAGTTTATGTTAAATTTTGTGTTGTAATGAATTAGATTTTGAGAAATTATTTTAATTTTTATTATGTTATATTTGTGTTTAATTTTGTCATTAATTTTATGAGTTTATTGAAAAGAGATGGGCTATAAGAGTCAAGATCCCAAATAACTCTAAAATTATTTAAACAACCAAAAATAAAATAGAATAAATATATAACAAAGTATAAATAAAAACTCAAATAAATAAAAGACGATGACATATGATTTCATCAAAATTAATCTAATCTAATCTATTATTCTTACTAACATCGCCTATTAGAAGGATGAGTAACACAAACTTATTTAATGCTCTTTCTTGAGATAGATAAAAAATAACCTTAACATATTAAACACCATATCTCTATGTGAATTTAAATATAGAGAGTTCAAGAGTGGGGTGTGGGTCGACTAGAGGAACAACATTCTTTCGGAAACGAAGGTAAAAGCACATAAAACCGTAAGGAGAAAGAGAACCTCAAGGCCCGTTTACTTCGTTAATTCGAGTTAAGATTTAACTTTATATGAGAGATTTTTACTGTAACAAAAAAGTTAGATATGACTGTTTCTGAAAGTTTTTTACTGTAACAAAACTCGAATTGGTGAAATGAACGGGACTTGACTTATGAACCAAAGCCTTCCCTTGAAAAGCACCTTGAGAACGTTAGCATCCAGCTGAGAGAGATCCTCTCTGGTCTCTGCTCTTCCAACTCGATCTTCGGCGGGATCCAATACCTTCTGAGGGCTAACACAGAGCTGATGACACGTTGAACCATGCGCTTGAGACACACGCATGCTCAAGATTTGCTGATGGCACGATCCAACAGCTAGGAAAACGAGTTGTCTCCCGTGCATCTTCTGCGAGTGGGAGAGAAACTGATCCGGATTATTAGTGTGCCTGATCTGAATTAATTAATTGGTTATTAATTAATAAATGTTTATAACGTGTAGAGTTGAATAATTCCAAGGTATTTAAATATTCTCAGTATTTATATTTTTACCCAGAAGTGTGTATGGGCACATTTCTGGACTATCATTTTAAATATTGGACACTTGTCCATTTTCCTTTTCTTTTTCTTTTTCCTTTTTCCTTCATTTTCCTTTTCTTTCCTTTGTCATTCCCATGCACTCTCTCTCTCTCTTTCACTCTCTCACTCTCTCGTTCTCTCACATTCACTCATTCACTCTCTCCCGTTTTTGCTTCAAAATCAACCGAATCTCGAACCAAAGAGGAATTTCAAAGAGTTTTCAACGTCAAGAGAAGGATTTGAGGTAAGATCTCTGAAAAACCTCTCATGAATCTCGGATTTTTGGATTTAAAAACTTATTTTTGGTTTGAAATGGATTTTGAGTAAAACTATGGTAGAAATTAGAGATCTTGGGTTCTTTGGACTTGATTTAGTGGCTAGAACCTGGATCTAGTGGTTGTCCCTTGAGAAATTTTGATTTAGGGCTGGATTTGCAAGTTTTCAAACTGATTTTGTGAGTTTTCTCTCACTGGTGTTCTTCACCGGTCGACTTGTGCGGTCGACCGGATTGCATTGGCCTCACCGGTCAACCTATTCGGTCGACCGGTTGCACACCACCGGTCGACCGGTGGTGTTGCACTACTCTATCACCGGTCGACCGGTGTACACGGGTTTGACCCTGTTTGGCCTGAAAATGCTATTTTGACCTCTATTTTCAAGGAGAACCCAAATTAGCTTCGTTTGGGGACCTAAAATGAATGGATTAACATATTTAATCCATGTTTTTGGAATGATGATTTGAAACATGAAATGGTTTGTGGAACCGGTAATTGAATTATGGCACACTAATAGGAAATCAAAGGATATAATTGAGACTGAATTGCTTTAGGAATGAGAATTGAATCCTAAAGTGTTGTCTTGTATTAGTGCTAGCTGAAGACTCAGATTGAGTGGCTTGAGGAAACGGAAGCCAGAATAGTGCACCGCTAGCCACAGGTTTGATATTTTTGAGGTAGAATTTCTATCCCTTTTCTTTGTGAGCCTGATTTTCAAAAGGATTTTGGCCTTGTAAATGTTTTAAAGAAAGGGGCTTGTTCGCGAAAGAAAAGTATTTAAAACCTATGGCTTGTTGTAGTTCATGGTACCCATGGCTGATTGTAGTACATGAGACCATGGCTTGTTGTAGTTCATGAGACTCATGGCTTGTTGTAGTTCATGAGATTATAATGAATGTTTTCATAAAGTTTAATGAATGATTTCTTAAGATAAGAGATCTTGCAAATCGGTAAACTGGCTGATGGCCAAGATAGGATGTGGAGAGTGCATCCTTGGGGGCAGAACCCGAAACTCCGGGGGTGATATGGCTTGTGCACATGGTTGTGTAAGTAATTTATCTTAGTATAAATTACTTGTTGATGCCTGTAATATGGTGATTTTCAGTTATATTTCCTTTGAGAAAAAGGATGTGAGGTTCCGGCTGTTGTGTCGGGACTAAATGTCATATTTTATTTACTTATTCATTTACTTATTTACTCGCTTATTTATTCATTCATTTATTTATAAAGTTATTTCAAATTATATCCTACTGGGCTTTTCGCTCACGTTTTTATTGTTTTGTATATATTTAACCCCTCCCAGGCGACTCTAGGAGTGGTGCGAAGTAGCTAGATTATTTGCTACCGTTCGATCAAGTGAGGATTGTGTTCATACTCTTGGATATATGTAAGAATTTGTAAATTCTGTAAACTCTGATATTTGGATTTCTAGACTGTGGTTGAGTCTGTAATGTTTTATTTACATGTCATGTATGTGTTGGGAATAGTGTCCTAGAAGCATGAGATGTAATAAGATGTTTATTATTTAATTAATAAAAGAGTTTATTCATCATTTTATGTGCATATATTTATGAATATTTTATGAATATCAAATGAAAATTTCATGATTATTTATGTAAC